TCGTTCCCATTATTCAGGACAAAAATGCTTGTACCGACAATGCTGCTCTGATGTCTTAGTGCTGTCCTGGTCGTCATAACCACGAAAGATAACTGTACTTGTATTGATTGAAAATAAGTTTGAGGAACTTAAGATACAAGTTGCAAACGTCAGTATGAATGAAAGGTGTTCTTGCACCACATCGTTCGTGCTTTAAGATTGGTGTTGCCTGTTCTGCAATATGCAAGGTTTTAGGTTTGTAAAGGGGAATCCTGCTTGAACACCAACTTGGACAAAATCAGTAAAGATGGACAAGTTGCTAAGAATAATAAAATTGTTAATGAGTCGTCTGAGAATAATTATTGTGATGATGAAATTGTAAAGAGAGATACTACATAAATTGTAGAAAAATAGCTTTAGTTTAAGTACTTCATTTTAACACGTAATGTAAGGTTTTATACAAATACAATTGTTTTAATTTTTAATAAATGTAAAAAAATAAATTAAATAACTACCTTAGAAAAATACATATCAATTTGAAATTGGTCTTAATAGATTTGCATAAAAAACACGTTGAAAGATTATTCACACCACCTTAAAAGTTGAAATTTTTGCTTAGTAACCTATGTTATTATGTTATAGTGTAAAACTAAAACTTAATCCATCCCCTTTTAGCGAACATCCCATTTAGGAGATAAGATATTACCGAAGGTCTTATGGTAAAACATAGACCCGAAACCGATTTACGTTTTCATTTCGATGCTCCCAGAAGCCTAAAGCACCATCCACTCAAAATATTATACATGTGTTTATATACATATATATAATATAATATATCCATGTTATATACGTGTCCGTAAACATGATAACTCGAGTAATTTTGGTTCAATTTTAACGAAACCGGCATAATCGGTCCATAAAACAGGGTTTTATGTGGTAAAAGTTTGCAATCTTTGACCCTCAAAAGACAAAGTTTCCCAATTTTTCTCTACAGCATTTTAAAGAGCTTAAAGAAAACAAATAATTTAGTATATTAACGTGTTTTGTAAGTGGATTAGTTACGAATAAAATTCAAAAATTGTAAATTTAAAATTCCATGTTATTCTTAAGGAGAATAGTGTAAAATAATTTTGTATGTTTGTTTATAGATATGTCTTAATAAAACTTGTCAAATTTATTTGTTTTATACTAGGCTATTAATATTTTATTATAAACACACTTTATTAGCCTCCTTGTAGCAGCAAACCTAAGTAATCATTAAACTATTAGACATCATTTCATTAAACTATTAGATTTAATTGAAAATCGGGCAAATGAAAATTCGCTTTGTCTGCAGGTTTGCTGTGACGGGGGTATTTAATATTTTCTGTTACTCCTTGAGTTCCTTCCCTCTTATATAGTAAAGAATTACAGTTATTTTCAATAATCCCTTTTTATATAGAGCATGGAGGTAACTAATTTTATCACTTTATGAATAAATGTTTAAATATCGTAAAAAGTAATAATATTTCGAAACACCCTGTATGGAGTGGTATTTGTTTTATACTAGGCTATTAATATTTCACTATAAACACACTTTATTAGCCTCCTTGTAGCAGCAAACCTAAGTATTCATTAAACTATTAGACCTCATTTCATTAAACTATTAGATTTAATTGAAAATCGGGCAAATGAAAATTCGCTTAGTCTGCAGGTTTGCTGTGACGGGGGTATTTAATATGTTCTCTTACTCCTTGAGATCCTTCCCTCTTATATAGTAAAGAATTACAGTTATTTTCAATAATCCCCTTTTATATAGAGCATGGGGGTAACTAATTTTATCACTTTATGAATAAATGTTTAAATATCGTAAAAAGTAATAATATTTTGAAACACCCTGTATGGAGTGGTTTAATACACTTAAAACTAGTTCCAATCGATTTAAAATAACTAAAACCATCGAAAACCACACCTCACTCGACCTTAAACGTAAAAACAAAATTATTCAAGAACAAGGGCCCTTCGGAACAAAAAGGGCCCCAAAAAGGGCCTTAGGACACCCAAAATTTTGGGGACTCATCGGATCTTCATTTCTCATATTATTAGTAACTCACATGTGAAATTTCATTAATGTACAAATTTTGTTGTTTATATGGAGTGTTTTTGTATTATTTTACCTGTACTAAAAGGAGCTATATAAAGTATTGAAAAAAAACATTAAAACTCTCATTACATGTAAGCTGTGACATACAATTATTCCAATTCTCAGCTGATAAGCAGTTGTATAGGAATCTGATATTTTCTTGGCTTATTATACGTTTTGAGGAATACCTTTTAACATTACTATTTACAATCTCAGCCTTGTGGCAAATTATTTGACCAAAATGATCAGAAACTCCAAAATCTACTGTTTTACACATACTTTCATCAAAAGTTATGTCATGATAAAGTTTAAAGTTATGTCAAGCCATGTCATTGCTAATTGGGGTGTACCGAGGTATAAATAATAACACGGTTTTATACAGACTTGTGACAGTCCAACATGGTGAGGGAAGGAGATTCCATGATCGAGAGATGATGCCGGAAGAAAAGTATAGAGTATGATGGACTGGCCACACAGGACCCTGGGTAGGGGTGGGGATAGGCTGTTGGCCAATCACATTTATTATGCCATATAGATTAGTAATTCATATCCTATACTCTAATATGAACAATGTTTGCTTGTATGTATGTATGTATGTATGCTTGCTTGCACAAATATCTCGAAAACGGCTCCGACGATTTTCTTCAAATGTTATAAATAGTTTATTTCTGGCCTAAAAACGAGTTTACTGCAGTTAGAACTGCCAGCAAAAATCTAATTACGTAGAAAAATGAAACTGAAAGTCATACATTGTACATTGTAGTGATACATTGTAGGCCTAGTAAAGGCAAGCAGTATGAAGTGTGGGATCTGTTTATGACGATTAGATTAAGGTTATATGCAATCCTAAAATGCTATTGGAAGGGAAGGAAACAGGTCCGCGACGTAGGAAGTGGTGAAGGAAGTAAGTAAAGACGAGCTGTTCGGAGTGTGGAAACTGTTTATGACGATAAGATTAGGGTATCTGCAATCCTAAAATGGTATGGGAAGGGAGGAAAACAGGTCCGCGACGACGTAGGAAGTGGTGAAGGAAGTAGTCAAGGCCATGGTAAGGCGAGCTGTCCGGAGTGTGGGAACCGTTTATGACGATTAGATTAAGGTATCTGGAATCCTAAAATGCTATGGGAAGGGAGGAAAACAGGCCCGCGACGTAGGAAGTGGTGAAGGAAGTAGTCAAGCCGAGCTGTCCGGAGTGTGGGAACTGTTTATGACGATTAGATCAAGGTATCTGCAATCTTTAAATGAAATGGGAAGGGAGGAAAACAGGTCCGCTTTGTAGGAAGTGGTGAAGGAAGTAGTAGGCTAGCAGTTCAGAGTGGGGAACTGTAGGTGGCAATTACATTAATGTATCTGCAATCCTAACATGCAATGGGAAGGGAGAGAAAAATGTCCATGACGTAGGGAGTGCTGAAGGAAGTAGTAAAGGCGAGCAGTGTGGAGTTTGGAAATGGATTTATGTATCTGCAATACTAACCCCGCTTTCAGAGTAAAATAATGATTTTTCCCGAGCAAAGCTCGGTCTCCAGGTACTTCGTATAATAAAATAATTCAGTTGGCAAAAATGTGTTTAAACGAATCCAAAGGGAAAGTAAAAATAGGGAAAGAATATACAGATACATTTAATATAAATACCGGAGTGAGACATGGTGATGGTCTATCGCCATTATTATTCAATATGGCACTAGAAGAAGCTCTCAAGAAAACAAGAAATAGTGAAGGAGGGGCAAGACTTACTGATAAAATAAACCTTCTAGCATTCACAGATGATGTAGCCATTGTAGCTGAAAACAAAAATAATCTCAAAGTGCTAACAGAAGTACCTACTAATTAAAGAAGCAAGAAAAGTGGGTTTACAAATAAATGAAAACAAAACCAAATACATGAAAATAAGTAGGCAAGATGACGAGGAAGACCACTTAGAAGTATTAAACTATAGGTTCCAGAAAACTTGTATATTTAAGTATTTGGGAGTGATGATCACAAACAATAATAGAGAAGAAATAGAAATTCAGAGCAGACTCACAGCAGCAGAAAGATCATACTGGAGTTTAATAAAATTATTCAAAAGCAAACTGCTATCAAAAACCACTAAAATAAAAATGTATAAAACTATAGTGCAACCTGTATTGCTATACGGGTCATTACTTTTGAAAACAACATTTTGAGAAGAATTTTTGGACCAGTAAAAGAAGGAAATGCATGGAGGATAAGGAAAAATAGAGAGTTAAAAGAATTATTTGGTGAACCAGATATTGTGGGAATAGTTAAGAGTAGGAGGTTGAGATGGATGGGCCATATTAACCGTAGAAGTGAGAGAGAGAGAGATGGTAAAGATGGTACTCAGAGGTATACCAGAAGGAAGGAGACCATTAGGTAGACCAAGAATGCGATGGGTTGTTGAGGCAACGAAGGACTAGAGAGGAATGGGAGCAGACTTGGAGCTGGCAGAGGATAGAAGAGCTTGGAGGCACATGGTTGGTGAGGCCAAAAACCACCTAGGTTTCCAATGGCCACAGGAGTAAGAGTAAGTAAGTATATAGATTAGTAAGCCATTGATTACATTGGTATACAGTTATTGCTACTATAATAAATACATTACAGTCATGAGATGCAATGCCAGAGAAGGGTAAGAAGAGATGTTTTATAGTTGTGGGTCTCTATGAGGGAGGTGGGAAGGCATCCGCATCCCCACCCTTACCTTTTAGGTATCTGTAAAAAAACTATTTTTCCCTCTCAAAAAAATTCCCACACTGATTAATTAACGTGGCCATATTATGATTGGCAACCAATTGCAAGCTTGTCACAGTTATGATTTCCTAGGATATAAATATCCTAAGCCAGTAATAAACCAGCTAACCAGTTAATAAACCAGTTTATCTGTATACATCAGTTGCCTTACCAAATACTAGGTCTAGACTCTATGGACCCTGACGCTGAAATAACTTGACAGGCACAATTTGGTTGGACTTCGTCGTAAAAGTACACGTCTTGTAACCTCAACTTGGCAAGAGAGTTTATTGTTTCTTGATAAACTGGTTCAGTAAGATTCAATTTCTCATTGTACACCTTTATGGTAACATTGGTCACAATTGCTAGTGTATGTAAATTTAAAAACAGCATTGGCAAGTGGAAAAAATTCTCTTTCAAATAATAGAGGTCGGATATCAAAATTCCTTTGTAAGCTGTTTTGCAATTCCCTGAAAAAAATTTAAATTGTATAATTATAAAACATTATTTTGACAGAGTATGTGAAAACTATATTTACACTTGGTGAGTAGTATTAGTTATATTGACATAATTGGCTTTAATCATTATTACAACCATGACAAAATTAATTAGATAGTTGTTAATTATCAACGTTTCATAAAGTTACATACAAATTTCAAAATTTGAATCTTTTATTATGTGTTCTAATAAATAAAAATTAAATACACTTTTCACCAACTTGGCTTTTAATCAGGTTTCTGTACAAAAAATAAACTTCACTGCTACATCCTTACATATTTAGTATTATAATGTTCTATAAGTTTATAATCGGTCTATTTTTTTGAAATTCATGTGATACTCATGTAATATTAGAATTGGATACAGAGTGGATCTCACATTGATTTATAAACGACTTGATTTGTTATTCTAATTTAAAAACATGTTTAAAATTCAAAATTAACATTTTGGAATTACTAAAATTTTTCTATTAAATATAACTCATTTAGAAATGTACCTTTGGTATCACACCTGCATTTACCACCTGAACATTTTGTATCAAAGTTTTGGATTTTGTCGCTCGGTCTTAGTCTGATCAATAATTTTGATGGTGTGGTAAGTTCGATAATTTGATTTTCCCCTTCATGAGCGACAGTGATGAAGAAAGGAAATATTTGACCCGCTATCACCTCCAGAGGAAACCACAACTGGACACCGTAAGTGAGTTTACCTGCCAAATTACCTGAAAACAGCAGTTTATACAATTAAAGAGTAAAAGTACTACACAAAGAAATTTCCTTAGCAAAACTTAATTCAATTCAAAATATCTTTATTCATTCAACAATACAACAAAATAACAATTGACAATTAATATACATTACATAGGATACAAGACATAGTTATAACCAATACAAATTGAGAATGAATAGTTAGGTTCCTCATTTTCTCGTGTTGAGGAACCATTACAATCTAAAAGACGTACTGGAGAACAAAAACAAATAATACATTATGCTATTATAAAGATTAAACATATATAATGGCAAATTTGTATCAAAACAATTTAAAATTATGAAATAAACGTTTTTCCACAGATTCAAATAAAACATAAAAGTGATAGATAATAACAATAAAATACAGTGTTAGTGCAATAGATAATTGCATAACAAACATTGTAAAAAGTAAAATTGCGGTATCAGGTATTATTACAGTACAGAGATATCTGATCATGATGGACAGATAATTACACTGTTAGATTTAAAATTACAGAAAGAAAAAACAGTTAAAAAAGAGGTAAGAAAATTATCAGATCAAAATATAAAGGCATTTAAAAGAGATCTAATGTTGGAAAATTGGGCTGATATTTATAACGCATATCTCCTGAATATAAATTTGATACTTTTCACTCAATTTTTATGTTTTATTTTAATGTTCACTTTCCAAAATTAATCATACCTTGCAAAAAAAACTACTCTGGCTGGATTTCTCAGGATATTAAAAATAAAAATAATGAAATTATAAAGAATGGCAAAATATCATGTATCACAAGAAAATGTAAATAGTATTAAATCTAGTTTTAGAAAAATGATTATTCAGGCAAAAAGTAAATATTTCAATGATAAAGTAAAAACCTCTGACAATGTAATCAAAACAACTTGGAGTTTAATTAACAGTGAAGTAGGTGGTAGGCCTACTGCTATAGCTCATGTCCCAAAAATTGAACTAACAAATAAATCAGGGAAACTGGTTAGAGAACCATTGGAAGTATCTAATATTTTTAATGACATTTTTATTAATGCTGTTGAAAGTCAAGTTATTCCTCATTTATCCCAAAACACGATTTATTCAACTCCTACTTCTTTTTCTGACAGTACTTTCAAGTTTAGGACAGTGACTGAAGATGAAATAATTAAAGTAATTTCAAGTAGGCCAAATAAAACTTCTTCGGGATTTGATGAGGTCCCAATGTCTTTGTTAAAATCAATCAAACATGAAATTTCAAAACCGTTAACACATCTAGTAAATTCTTCTTTAATCTGCGGTATATTTCCCAACAAATTAAAAATAGCAAAAGTTATTCCAATTTTTAAGAAAGGTTTAGAAACCGATCCTCTCAATTATCGTCCAGTTTCTCTACTATCAAATTTTTCTAAAATTTTTGAAAAAGTTGTGTACGATCAATTAGTAGATTTTTTAGAGAAAAATAAATTATTTGATGAAGATCAGCATGGGTTTAGAGCTGGAAGGTCAACGACAACCGCTTGTGTAGATTTTGTGACATCAATAATTGAAAGCATAGATAAAAAAAATAAAACTTTGGGGATCTTTCTAGATCTTACTCGCGCTTTTGATAGTGTAAATCATTCAGAATTAATAAAAACATTACAATCCTTAGGAATAAAAAATCGCCAGATAGAATGGTTTAAATCATATCTTAATGATAGGAAACAATATACCGTCACAAAAGGGCTTAGTACAAAAAATGTTATACAATTTCATAATTCAACAATACAATCTATGAAATACGGAGTACCCCAAGGATCTATCCTAGGACCGCTTCTGTTTTTGTGCTATATCAAGGGGTTACCTAGTTTTATTTCAGGAACAGATAGCAAAGTTTGCCTATATGCAGACGATACAAGCCTTTTGGTGACAGGCAAAACTCTCGAAGCTGTACAAAATTCTTATTCTAACTCTATTAACAAGATTAAAAACTTTTTTAACAGCAAAAATTTACTTTTAAATGAAAATAAAAGTAGTTACATTTCTTTCTGTACAAATAAAAATAAAAAAATGAGACAATTTTGAAGACTAATGCTAAAATTAATAAAGTAAATGATTTAAAATTTTTAGGAATTATTATTGACTAGTGTACCTGTTGCTCGAATTCGAGCAATTGCGAAGCATTACAGGCGATTCAAAGATTATGGAAATACTCACGATCTACACAACAGTTAGATATAATCAAAATCTTTTGTAAATATCATATTATCTTTTTTCAAAAAGCTTATCTTGTTTTTTTAGTGTTTTCTACAAATTTTTCCCTCTCATATACGCATTAGGTTGTCTATGACAAAGACTATAAATTAAACAAAAAATCATTTCTATTTCTTCTACTTGGTTGTGTTCTATGACTTTTTCTATGTTTCCATTGTTTGCAAATCGATTATTTCAATGATTGCTCAAGAAATGTAGAACAGTGTTAATTCAGTTTTATTTTTAGCCCATATCAAATTGTCCAGGATTCCTCGCTCTTTTCCATTGTAATAATTACACCAACCCAAGTTTCGTCTACAGATGCAATATGCCAACGAATATCACCTACGCACAATCTCCAAGAAGTGGTAAAAAAGGCAGAAACCAACCCATACAATAGAAATAAGTTAACTCCTAAAGAAATAATTTTAAGAGTTACTGTGATATTATGATTTTCCACTGATTTGGTAATAGAACATTATATTGCAAAACATGACACGATGCAGAAGAAAATTCAATTTAAAATCAGAAAACCCCATTGCAAATACTGTACTTCATTTTGACAAATTCAATAAATCACAATTTTAATATTAACAGCTGTTTCATTAAAAAGTAGTGTAGAATTATGCATATGGTCGTAATGTAAACAAATCTGAAGAGGCAACTTTAAAAGCTTCTGGGGCAGAGCCCCATGGGAATTTACCTCGTTCCTCTTTTGATGGCTCATCTACAGACCAAGACCTTTCTTTAGAGACCCCTACCAAGTTTCTACGCCCAGCCGCTCTCTCAAATTAGCTGTGACAAAAACCCCGTTTTCCTCCATAAGAATAACATGGGATGGGAATTAAAAGGCCACTGGGGCAGAGCCCCAAGGGAATTCACCATGTTTCTCTTTTGATGGCTCATCTACAGACCAAGACCTTTCTTTAGACACCTCTACCGAGTTTCTACACCCAGCCGTTCTCTCAAAATAGCTATGACAAAGAAAAACAGTTTCAAATTAATATATAGATAACAATTTAAGTTGGGACTCTCATGTCCAGCATGTTGTAGGCAAAATTTCATCAGGCTTGTATGCTCTTCGAAGGATGTCCTATGTCTGTGATCTTTCGGCTCTAAAACTGGTGTATTATGCTTTTGTACATTCATTTATATCATACGGAATTAGTGTGTACGGAGGGACCTCAAAATCAAACCTTAATCAAATACTTCTGTTACAAAAGAAAGCTATTAGATTAATGCTAAGTTTAAATTGGATTGAAAGTGTAAAGTATCATTTTTCTAATTTGGAAATCCTAACAGTGTTTGGAATTTATATATATGAGACAATAAAATATACTAAGCAGCACCATTTACCAAAAATACAGCTAGAACTAAGTAGGCCTACCAGTAATAGATATAATACCAGAAATGCACAATATGTTATACAAAACAGGCATAATTTAGAATTTTATAAAAAAAACACAGTGTATAGAGGCCTTAGATATATAAATTTTTTACCAAAAGATATAAAAAATTAATGTAATAGTAGGACATTTTACTTTAAACTTAAAAAATACCTAGTAGAAAAAGCAATTTACTCCTTTGAGGAATTTTATAATTTAAAATATTGTGAATAGACAATAAGTACTCACTGACTCTATTCTTTGTACTTGTACATTCATGAATAAAGGAGATTTTGATTTGATTTGATTTGATTTGACAGTACAGAAAAAATCAAAACATGTGTACTTCCATTTGCAACAACTAGGACAATAATGTTTCAACTCCAGGAAAAGTAAAAAGCCACTTCTTTACAAACCTATTTACAAATATTTTACTAGGTGTACAATGCAGTTGTCTGCTTGCAATATTGAGCGGAGCTAGCATATTAATCCAATACTTTTCTAAAGTCGATGCTTCATTCTATTCCTCTTAAATGAGATTAAATACTCTTAGTATCCAATATCAAATGGTATATTTGGTTCACATAAATGTAATGTCACATTAATTTATAATGTCTATTTGCAGTATTCAAAGTCAATTATAGGCCTGGTTCACGTAAATGAATTGTCTACTTGGAGTATCCTAAATCGATGGTACACCTGCTTAACATAAAAGAGAAATCTACTTGCAGTATCTAAGACAATGGTCCATTTGGTTCACATAAATAAGATGTCCATTTGCAGTATCCAAAGTCATAATGGTAGGGTTTCTTCTGGTTCACTTAAATAAATGGAATGTCTATTTGCAGTATAAAAAATTCAATGATACGTCGGGTTCACATAAACGAATTGTTTACTTGCGGTATCCAAACTCAATGGTACATTATTTGGTTCACAAAAATTATGGAATTGTCTACTTGCAGGATCCAAAGCAATGGTTCATTTGATTCACATCATGGAGTGCCTATTTGCAGTATCCAAAGTCAATGGTACAACTGGTCCATGTCAATGGAATGTCTACTTGCAGTATCTAAACTCAGTGGTATATTTGGTTCACATTAATGGAATTCCTAATTACAGTTTCTATTCAAAGTCTGCATTATTGACACGTCTAGTTCACATAAAATGCAAAGTCTACTTGCAGTATCCAAACTCAATTGTAGGCCTATATTTGGTTCACATAAATGGAATGGCTATTTGGATTAATTAAAGTCAATTTTGCATCAGCCTTATTCCGGTGACCATAATTATTGGTTATTCATTTTGTACTAAATTATGCTGAATTATATCATTATATTAATTTAGATTGTGCTTCCCTTTTCCTCTGTACGGTATGTGTATTTTG